AGAGCAAGAAGAAACCACTGATGACAGTGGTTTTAAGTTTTCATTTTAAGAGCAAGAAGAAACCACTGATGACAGGAGGGTAACCGGGTCAAGTCTGCACTTTAAAAAACTCTTCCAGTGGCAGCACAGAAAACAGATGGCAGGGGTCAAGGGTAGATGAGCAGAGACCAGCTGAGAAGCCACCACAGTACTCCAGGGTGAGAGGATGCCAGCTAGGCTGTGACGGCAAAGGAGATCAAAAGAAATGAACGCACTGAAAAGAGTGAAGGTTAATTGGACAGGACTGGCTGGTGCACTGGAAAGAAATGGAAGAACAGAAAAATGTTAGGAAGTCTCTGAAGAGTCACTGATAGAGGGAGCCCCAGGGAGACAACCAGACGGGCAAGACCTCGTAATGTCAGCTTTGGATGTCCTGGCTTGGCCATGTCTTTGAGGCTGGAGCTCAAAGGGGAGGAAAAAGCTGGTGTAGGATCTTGGTTCCAGGTGAGTGCACAGGCACAGAGTAGCACGAGAGGAACCAGCCTTTCTAAATGTGAGCCCTTGAAGGAGATCGGAGAGAACCCGAGCAGATAAGGACCCACGTGAAAAATCTCTTGTATTTGGAGACACAAAATCACTGGTAGTCGTAGTAAGGGCTGTTAGAGTGCAGGGATGAGGCAAGCCTCGTTCTAGAATGGGCTGAGGAGTGAGTGGGAGGTGACGAGTGAAGACAGCTTGGCTGAGGTTCTAGTTGTGAAGGGAGACAGGGAAGGTAGCTGGAGGCGGGTGTGAGATGGAGGAAGCTTTTGTTGTTTTTAAATGAAGAGACTCAAGCATTTGTAAACGCCAGCGGAAAGAATCCAGATCCGATGGTGCTGGGGTGAGGAATGGCTGGAAGCTTGCTCTGCCTGGGAGCCAAGGGATCTGCTTAGGGTAAGGGTCAGAGGAGAGAGGCGCTGGGGCCTGAGTGGGGAGAGGGCGGAGGGAAAGGATGGCGGGGCAGCCGCTGTGGACTGGCATGATTGGTTGTAGGAGGAGAGTGTGGCATTTAATAGCGATCTTAGGAGCCAAAAGGTGAGGCTCCCACCACTTACTTCCCTTTCGGGCTGCCCGATGGCCCTGTTCTGTACTGAGTGTGGTAACCGGTTCTGCCTCCGCCCTGCCCTCTGGAAGTTCTGCCCTCCACAGAGCAGGAAGGCAGGGGAGCTGCGCAGGGGCTTAGGTGGCGGTGCCGGAGGACAACACCAGAAATCTCAGCAGCAAGATGCTGTGCAAAGACCAAACACATTTTGCTCTGGGAGGCAAATGGTTTATTTTGGTTTTCCATTTGTTTGCAGAAGATGAAGAGGGGAGAGCAGGAAGCAGCGGGGACCTGAAATCCTGGGTGAGGATGGGTGAGGGTGGCAGGAGCTGAGTGGGGGTCCTTCCGCCCTGGGCTTGACCCCCTGTGGAGGTAGAAGAGGGGGAATGTTCTTCAGTAGGAAGAGAAAGGCTGGAGCCAGAATGGCAACCAGAGTGCTCAGGCCCCCTGGCCGGGAGGGAGCTGCCCTGGAAGAGGCGGCCACGAGGCAGCAGGAGGGGGCTGCAGCTGCAGGGGTCCCCATTTAAGCTCCATTTCAGTGTGAAAAAGTGGCCTTTTTTGCTAGGGTGGGCCAGGCCCACCACACAGCTTTCCATTAGCTCCTCCTTTGCACAGGCTACAGGGATGGTGTTGACCCGACCTTCTTCGGAGTCCAGTCATATGTAATCTGAAGCCCTCTGCCACCGCTGGGAACTAAGTCCTGGGACGTAAGGGAAGGACTGAGAGGGGGGAAGCTTTTTTCTTTTTTTTTTTTTTTTTTAAATCATTAACCTGGTTGATTGAAATCTAAACTGCGGGGCCTCCCAGGTCTATTGATTTTCTCTGAAAGCCCAGCTGCTGGAGCTGGTGGCTGCCCAGAGACCAGGGAGAGGAGAGGGGAGAGGTAAGGAAAATGGGGCAGCGAGAGAAATGGGGAGCCAGCCAGGAGTGTGGGATTGGGAAGGCGGGAGGAGGCAGCAGGCAGTGCTGGAGGGTCAGACAGCGCAGAGGGGTGTTTGGGGACCAGATGGAGGTCGGAAAGCCTCAGCAGGCATCGGGGCTGGTGAAGTCAGCCCCGCCACGGAGGCACTGCTGAGAGCAGGGAAGAGCCAGAGAGGACCTGGCAGAGGATAAAAATCAAAGCTCAAAGAAGCACAGTGACCTGCTCAAGGTGACAGGGTCGGAGCCTGCACCAAACCCGAGCTCAGCTGATTTCGCTGCACTGAGAAGAAAGGACACAGAAACGAAGGCCCACAGGTCAGGAGGAAAGCTGAGATGAGGGACATGGAGAGCTGGTAGGAAGGGACATTCAATTCATAGGTTGCTACGGTTTGGGAGACAGGCGCCTCCTGACCCTTGTCTTTGCTCACAAGAGTAAGCAGACACAAACAGTTTGCTCTGGTCTGAGGGAGCTATGGGCCGTTAGGTGTTCCCAAACCAGGCTGCTGGGCCAACCACCGAGGCCATAAGGTTTGTGGAAGAGACTTTATCCATAGCGCCGTTAAAGGTGAGGACAGGGAGTCTCCAGACTCACATCTGCCCCCACAGGACAAAGTTCAGGGATATTTATAGGGTCAAAAACTAGGGTTGCTATTGGTTGCATCTGGAAGGCCCTGCTGAAGCCCACACGTGAACAGCTTCGTCCTGAGTTTGGTGGTTTTGGGAGAGGATGGAACTTTTAAGAAGAGTCACGGGGAGGACTCAAGGAGAACGCTGGTACATGGGCCCGTAGTCCTTGCTTCTGGCTGCCGTGAAGTGATCTGCCTCAACTACACATCCCAACGTGATGTAGCAGGCTGAGGCATGGGAAAAGGTGACTGATTGGAAGCAGGGAAAGAGGAAGTAATCAGTGGTCTCCATACGTGTGGTCAAACTTCATGGCTCTTTATAAGAAGCATGTTGAGAAAATGGCAGTGTCAGTAAGATCCATGGGTGGAGTTTTTGGCCTTCTAATGTCAAAAAGTCACCTCCTGGGCACTTGTGAAGGCCCAAGTGAAAGGGCTGGCGGTTTCATCCACTTTGAGCCATAGAAAGCTATCTCCAAGTCCCTAAAAAAAAAAACCTTAATCCTTACCAAGATGGGTGACCATATGTCAGAGGTGTTAGGGAAATTAACAAAGGCCTATTACATTACTGTTCAGCTGAGGACTTCTAAAACCAGTGATAAAGCAGCTAAAGATAAGGTGATGTGTGCATGTGTCCCAGCACTGGAAGGCCGAGGCAGGAGGACTGCAAGCCTTAGCAGCTTAGTGATTTCACAAAACCATGTCTCAAAAAATACGAAAAAGGGGCAGACATAAAGCTCAGTGTGAAGCCTCTGGGTTAAATTCTCAATACCAAAAGACAAAAACAATAAACGGCAACTAAAAGCAAATGGGTTTATCCAGGTTTTCCCTGGATTTTAAAAGAAAGAAAATGTTCTTTGGATTTTGAACTTTAGGCGGTGGGGGGGGAGGGGGGGATAACTGAAGCTTTTTTTTTTTGCATTTTTAAATTTTATTGGTCCATTTTAGCTATACATAGAGATAACATTCATCATAGGGAATTTATATCTGTACATAATATATCTTACTTCTTTTTTTTTCCTCCTATCCTCTTCCCTTCCCTTCAACCCCTCTTCCTGAAGCCTCTTAAGGGAAATTCTGTGTTTTGGGTTGTGGGGAGTATTGTTTTGTTTGTTTTTGGTGACTTTTTCTTTGGTGTTGGGGCCTTGAACCCAGGGTTTTACACATTTGAGACAAGTGCTGTACCACTGAGCTACACTTAGAGCCCCATAGGGGGAAAAATGATTCAGTTCCTTATAGGAGACTTAGTTATAAGAAGAGAAAGAGGGACCATGTAGAAGAAATTTTAGGAGTTACACAGCAAGGAACATAGAGAAAACACCTATTCACTTAACCAAAACAAGCCCTGACAACTGCATTTCACCAAGCTATCACGGGGCTCCTGGCTCCTCGTGATTCCAGACATAGGTCTATGTAACTCTGAGACAGAAGGGGAGCCACAGTCTGGTGGCAGAGACGCAAACACACGTGAGCACAGACGTGTCATCGTGGTGCCCACAACTCCCCTTGCCAGTGCCAGCTCCTGGAATAACTTCTCTGAGCTGGAGGGGGAGACACCAGGCCTTCCTGGGTGGAAGAGAAAAAGAGAAAGGAGCTGGCTCTGAAGGCAGAATTGGCCGGGCACACAAGGTGCAGAAGCCACCTGACAGACGAGAGAAATAGAACGACGACCACACACAGACAGCTCGGATGTCACAAAAAGCGTTAGAATTTTCAGAATGAAACGGTCTCTGAGGCCGTACTGTCACTGGCCGCTTAGATTCGGAAGTTCAGGTTCATCTCTCACCACTGACCAAAGCAAAGGAGACCATATATTTTGGTAGACAGGAAAAAGGACTTATTCAAAGCTAGCTCTCAGGAGAGGATCAGGCCTATGTGCCTCAAACCACCACCTCACCATATGCAGAGGTGCCACGGTCCTTCATGACAAGGGACAGTGTGTGCGGGAATAGTGTCATAACATTTTCAGGCTGGTTACGTCCCTTTCTCTCCCTTCTGGGGATCCAGACCTCTCCCTCCCCTGCTTATGGGAATGAAGTTGAGCATTACCTCTGAGTGCCAAGATCTGGATATTTTGTCCATTCTGGGGGAAGGGGGGTGATGGGAGGTTAGATAGAGGGATTTATGCCCTAGGCCTAAGGAAGTATGGAAGCCACTTGGCTTCAAAGGAGAAAACTGACTTTTAAAGCTCCATTTTGCAGTGCTGGTTACAGTGTGGAGAGAGCCGTAGAGTTGGTTCCAAGTTCTGTTTGTGGTTGTGGCACTAGCAGGTGCCGACCTGCCCGTTCTGTCATGAAAGCCTCACCTGGACATCCCTGGAGACTGGCTCTGGGGTAAGGGACCCTAGTCTGGTAAGTACAGAGCGGCGTGCCTGATACGTCTTCTTTCTCTGGCAGCTCAACATCCTGGTGGACACAGGCAGCAGTAACTTTGCAGTGGGGGCGGCCCCCCACCCTTTCCTGCATCGCTATTATCAAAGGCAGCGGTGAGTCCTGGGGGGCCCAGGGCAGAAGTCAACCCAAGGAGAGTTGGGAGGGGTGCAGGGAGAAAGGTCTGGTTCCTCAGAGCCTTGCCCCCATGGGGAAGGAAAGGAGGGTGAAGAGGGGGCATTGGAGAGCCACACCTCGGGAAACGCAGCTTCCATGAAAGGGAGGAAGCCTTGTGGCTCCCAGAGCCATCTCCACAGCTCGCTTTCTACCTAAGCAGGAGGTGAGGGTACTTCACCCACATGCCCTCAGCAGCTTGCTGCTTGGGTGGGCCAGACAGACAGCAGCCCTGCCTGAGCTTGTTCTGTGTCCTTACCCTGGGTTGCATGGTTCAAGGACAGAAAGGAAAAAACCTTCCCTAAAAGCACCCTCATCAGTGACTGGAAGCTCCCTGTATCTCAGCCCAAGTGCCACTAGCTGAACCCAGTTTTTAGATGGGAGGGCAGGGAGGGAGGATCTGGGGGCCCTCTTGGCATAAAAGCAGCATGAGGAAGTGGTGAGAAGACATCTAACACCCGAGTGGTCTGTGTGTGAGTAGTGGACCCTAACTTTGGGCTGCTAGGCAGGTGCAAACCCACCCCCATTTCCTTATTTAACCCCACCCCTTTCACGTCCCTTCTAAAGACAGAAAGTGGTGTGTGGGTAGGATCAGTACAAGAGCATCATTCCTAGTCTTTGTCCCAGTTCTATCATTACTCCCCTCAAACCTTGGTTAGTGCCATGATTTAACAGAAGTGGGGGGCCACACACTTTGATGAGAATGCTTTGCAACACCCATCTGCCTGAGAAGCTTGTGCAAATCTCTTCTACCAAGCTTCCACACTCACTCTGCCTGGAACCTTCTTCGAATGGTACCACCAGGTCCCAAGGCAGAGTCAATGGCTCTTTTTTCTCTGGGAGCTTGTTGGAACCCAGGGGAGGAAGAGACGCAGGCTAGCTGTCCTCACAGAAACAGCAAGTACAATATACAAAGCCTAAATTGTTCTTCGCAAGTTTGAGCTTCGGAGCTAGGAATGTGAGCTCTGGAGACGAGTGAGATTGAGCCCCAGCAATAGCTCCCCTCAGCTGTTCATAAGATCCTTTACATTCTGGGTAGTGGGTCCAAGGCCTGTTCAGCAGAGCAGCTTGAAAGCAGATTTTAGGATGCCCCTGAACTACGTGGCGTTTGGGAGTATCTTTGATGCTGGGTCTCTGTAGCAGGGGTTGTGCTTATGCCTCCAAATCTCTGCCTCCTTTCCACAGGTCAAGCACGTATCGGGACCTCCGAAAGGGCGTGTATGTGCCCTACACCCAGGGCAAGTGGGAGGGGGAGCTGGGCACTGACCTGGTGAGCATTCCTCATGGTCCCAACGTCACTGTGCGTGCGAACATCGCTGCCATCACGGAATCAGACAAGTTCTTCATCAATGGCTCCAACTGGGAGGGCATCCTGGGGCTGGCCTACGCCGAGATCGCCAGGGTGAGAGGAACAAGACTGGTCCTATACCCTGGACACTGCACGCTGCACACTACACCGGGAAGGAGTAGATGGGGACTAAGTGAAACACCTCAGTTTGAAGGGTCATTCACAGGGGCAGAGTGGCAGTCTGAACTTTAGCGCTACACAAGGCAAAACCACAGGGAGAGCAGCTATGTTAGGTACAGGAAAAGGCTGTGGTTACTGTGTACCCGAAGATTCTTTGTTTTGCTTGTGTTAAGATATCCTACATAGTTGAGGCAGGCCTCTAATTCACAGTAACCTTCCTGCCTCAGCCTCTGGAGTGGAGTGCTGGGATTACAGGAGTGTGCTAACATGCCAGGCTTAAAGTCTTTGTGTGTATGCACCCTAAGTTCCTTAAGAGGGTGCTCATAAACTTGAGGCAGGTTGGGCATGTGGGAATGACAGCGCCTATGGCTCTGTGGGCCACACTCCCTTTTCTTGCACAGCTGTTGTCTCTTGCTAACCCTCTATCTGTCACAACTTAGTAACTCAAGATGGTGAATCCCAAGGGACTTCCCCAAGGGTTTACTTTTTCCTTCCAATGTAAGCAGGAAGCTAGCCTCTGTCCACCTCTGTCCAGCAGGGCCCTCCCTGTGAAGATTCACTCTTTGTCTCTTTCTGCCACAGCCTGACGACTCCCTGGAGCCCTTCTTTGACTCTTTGGTGAAGCAGACACATGTTCCAAATCTCTTCTCCCTGCAGCTCTGTGGTGCAGGCTTCCCCCTCAACCAGTCTGAGGCCGTGGCTTCTGTGGGAGGGAGCATGGTAAGTAGAGCCTCCAGGGCGGAGGACCTGGCACTAGGAGAGACAGGGGTGCCGTCTACCCACCCCTTCTTTGGGCAACAACATGATCTTGGCTCTGCTGCTTCAAATCACAAGAACTCCTTTAAGTCCCCATCCCTACTTTTCTTGTTCACTTTTTTCTTCCTTATGTTATTCCTTAACAGGACTCGAGGATCTATGGTAAACTTGCAAAGGATCAGAAATGATTAGGAACCATTTCAAAGGAAATGAAAGGAAGACTCACTGATGGTCAGAAGGCAGAGATGTCAGGAGTTTAAGTCTATTTATTCATTGATTAGGACAACAGTGAATGGTTCTCTGACAAACAGTGAAAATACGACTTAGAAGCCATAATCAATTCGTTCAACATTTATTTGCCAGTTTAGGTTTAAATAACTTTATGTCAAGCGCTATGTGATCCTGAAACAAATAATTAACATCCTATCAAGTCTTTTCTTCTGAACACACTTAGAGACAATAAGTCACTTTGGGACATGATTGGTTAGAAGCAGGAAAATGGAAACGGTTTTATGTAGAGAGCCTTGCTAACCCCAAGTGTGACTGATCTCACTGCTTGTCTTTGTGACGTGCTCTTCTGTGCCCGCCCACGGATGCCTGTCTCCTCTCTTAGATCATCGGGGGTATTGACCACTCGCTGTATACAGGCAATCTCTGGTATACACCCATCCGGCGGGAGTGGTATTATGAGGTGATCATTGTGCGGGTGGAGATCAATGGACAAGATCTGAAGATGGACTGCAAGGAGGTAATAACACCAACTGGCAGCCAAGAGAGAAATGGGGACACCTCACATGGGAAGGCTGGGAGGATGAGGCAGTACAGACAGGACCGCACAGAGGGTGGGGCCGGGCTCAGAGGTCTGCGAGGACACAGCAGGACACAGCAGGACCAGGACCATCACAGGGATTGTGGGCTTCTATAGTAACACGAATGAGAACAGAGAACAAGCCAACAGGCCTGAACTAGTTCCCGGCTAGCCTCCAGTCACTGCTTTGCTTCAAAGCGCTGGGCAAGTTCTCTGCAAGGCAGTGTGGTGAGATGTCCTATGAGAGCCCTGCTTTAGGGTCACAAAGACCTAGATTTGAAGTTACCACTGCCATTTACTAGCTGGGTGCCCTCAGGCTTGTTCCTCTGTGTTTCAGTTTCCTCATCTGCAAACAGAGGTAAAATAAATTTCCCAAACATTGTAGAAAAGGTCAGACAACTGTTTGGCAGTAGCCAACAAATACTAGCTAAACCCTGGGGGCTCCTTCCTTAGATCCTTGCATATGCTAAGTCAGAATAGATGTAAAAGTACTATGTGAAGTTAAAAGCACTATACCAGGTACTACTTAAGATGTGAAAAATGTGATACTTTATAGAAGCCATTGTTGATGACCTATTGTCCTGTTTTGAAGTTATGTACCACTTTCACTGCTTTAATTGGCTGTATTCTGTATGGTTGGGTTTTATTCTCTTTAAAATTAAAAAAAAAGATTCGGAAAATGTAGGCCCACTCAAGACAGTAAGAGCTAACGTTTACTGAAGTGCCTCCTGCCTGTGACACACCATTCTAAGTGTTAATTCAAAGTATTCGTTTAATCCTTACAATGACTTTTGAGGTAGGTACTTTAACATCCTTTTAGAGACAAGGAAACTGAGGCACAGAGGTTAATTAACTTGCCTAAGGAGGGTAACACACAAGGTAGCAAAGCCAGGATGCGAACCTGGCCAAACGCCAAGCAATCAAACCCACTCTTCTATCTCTGCCCATAGCCTGGCACCAAAAAGCTCTTCCAACCCTTTCCTCTCCTCCTCAGTACAACTATGACAAGAGCATCGTGGACAGTGGCACCACCAACCTTCGTCTCCCCAAGAAAGTGTTTGAGGCTGCGGTCAAATCCATCAAGGCAGCCTCCTCGGTCAGTGCACTAAGGATAAGGTATAAGAGATGACATGCTATCACAAGAAGTCAGTGGCAGAAATAGCCCTCAGCAAGAGCCAAGGTGACTCCATGCAGACCCTTGTACTTAAGAGCTCTTAAAAACTTGCCTGCTGCATGGGTCTGCCTGCTTGTCATACGAGGCCTCTGGTACCAACCTTTGCCCTCAGTCTCCTGCTCTCGCCCCCCACCCTGGTTGTAGTTCACCTTTTCCTGCTCTGGATGTCTCCCCCAGAGAAGCCGACAAAGGGCCCGGGCAATGCTGTGAAGACAGGCGCACGAGGGGATGGAGGCTGACCCCTCATTGTTACCCTTTTCTTGCCAACACAGACAGAGAAGTTTCCAGATGGCTTTTGGCTGGGTGAGCAGCTGGTGTGCTGGCAAGCAGGCACCACCCCCTGGAACATTTTCCCAGTCATCTCGCTCTACCTCATGGGTGAGGTCACCAACCAGTCCTTCCGCATCACCATTCTTCCACAGGTATGTCCCTAAGCTGAGGCAGGGGGATCCCAGGAAGAGGTCAAAATACGAATTGGAAGATACTGAGCAGGCATGGCTCAGTGGTAAAGGGGTCTTGGAAAGCCCAACCTCTTGGGGCTCAGGGATGGCAAAGGGAAAGGCTACTAAATGGTAGCTACACCTAGAGGGCAGAAACGGGGTAGAGTGTGAAGCAAAAAGGTCTGGACTATTTGCCCCTAGCAATACCTGCGGCCTGTGGAAGACGTAGCCACGTCCCAGGATGACTGTTACAAGTTCGCCATCTCGCAGTCATCCACTGGCACGGTGATGGGAGCTGTTATCATGGAGGGCTTCTACGTCGTCTTTGACCGGGCCCGAAAACGAATCGGCTTTGCTGTCAGTGCTTGCCATGGTAAGAGCATGGAGATGAGGGCGTGGTTCAATTACATTCCCACTGTCAGCAGTTAGGCTACCTCGGCCCCATGCCTTTGGGAGGTAGTAGCAGTGGCCTCAAGCTAAAGTCAGCATAGTGTACAACAGCTGGTGCCAGTGCTCATCACTTTTAAATTTAATTAATTTACTTTTTGGCATTGTCTGCCCCGGTGACTCCACCTGGAGTGGAAAGCCCTGCTAGAAACCTACTACAGCAAGAGCTGCCCGGGTCCCTTAGGAAGCTCAGGATAGAAGGGCAGGGGGCTGAACCTTCAGGGAGCCTGTCAGACGCATTACTGTAGGGCAGATGCCCCTGCAGAAAGGTGACAGGATTTCATTCCTATGGGACATGTAACCAGGAAAGGATGCTATTCCTAGGGCTGTGAGAGAGGAGCTGGGCCTCTGCTGAGCACTGGCTTTCCTGCCCGCTCCTAAAAGTCTCCAAAAGGACTAAAAGCTCGCACAGAGGCTGACTGCAAGGTGTCACTGTCCACAAGTTCTTCTGTTGTGTAACTCAGGCTGCTCTGGCACAACTGAGCACTATCCATTTATATCTGCCTTCCCCAGTGCATGATGAGTTCAGGACCGCAACAGTGGAAGGCCCTTTTGTCACCCCGGACATGGAAGACTGTGGCTACAACATTCCACAGACAGATGAGTCAACCCTCATGACCATAGCCTATGTCATGGCTGCCATCTGCGCCCTCTTCATGCTGCCACTCTGCCTCATGGTGTGTCAGTGGCGCTGCCTCCGCTGCCTCCGCCATCAACATGATGACTTTGCTGATGACATCTCCCTGCTGAAGTGAAGAGGCCCATGGGTGGAAGACAGATTCCCCTGGGCCACATCTGGGTGGTCCCCTTTGGTCCCAAGTTGGAGACACAGATGGTACCTGTGGCCAGAGCACCTCAGGACCCTCACCCACCCACCAATGCCTCTCTCTGCCTTGACAGAAAAGGAAAAGTCAACAGGGTGGGCCCCAGGGCTTGCACCTTTAAGAAACAGGAGAGGAAAGAAAGAAGCGCTCTGGTGAAAGGATACTCTTGGCCACCTCAAACTTGAGCTAGGAGATTCTGCTGCTTGAACCTTCAGCCTGCACCTTTGCCCACCAACCATTTAGATTTTCCAACCCAAAGTATTCTTTCCTCACTTGCAGAAGTCCTGGCATCACACCCAGGCTATCCCAGCGTGTCTCTGCGGTACCCTGCGAAGAGCAACCTCATATCCCTGCTGGCCAAAGTCAGCAGAAGAAGATACACAGTTTGCTGTTTGCTTTAGACATAGGGACTGGGGAAGCAAGCCTAACACTGGTGCAAAGACTGCCTCTTAAATTAAAAAAGAGCAATTAGAGCATTTGTACACATGGGGCAGTTAGAGGAGTATAAAGACAGTGAGCTGGTATTAAAGACAAGAAACACAGAAACAGCAACTCACTGGTCCCAGCTTGAGACCTCATCTCCAAGGCAGAACCCCATCTTATAAGACGGGTGTCATTCGTTCCCCAGTGTTTCTGTGGTTGTAGGCTGACCCAAAGTGAGATGTAAAGAAGAGCTTATGGAACCAAGAGCTCATTTTAAAGCTCTTTTAAATGAAAGGTGCCCATGAAGAAGTTCCACTTAACAAATGAGTTTCTGTCTTATTAATCCCACTTGTCTCTACTTGAACCCTTCCTCCTACATGTGACAGGTGCCACAGCAGCAGCCAGCCCCCACCGCCCTAGGTTCCCTGCGGGAGCAGCTGGACTACAGCAGGGCTGCGCACTGTCTCCCTGGTCACGCGCTCACTCCTTCCCCAGAGCCCCCTTGCTTTGGAGCTTTGCAGCCCAGGTGCTACAAGGAATAGAGGTGAGACCTCTCCTACCTAAGCCCCGAAAGCAGAACGCCATAGATCCATTCAGCAGGTGTAGGGTTGATGCCTTATACCTCTGTCCAGGTTCCTCCTATTTGCTCTAAGTGGTAAGACCGTCGTCACGTAATACTGAGTGGTTTCACTGCTTTCTTACCCTCTCTAATGGCGCCTCCATTTATTTGACTAAGGCATCGCACCCTGGCGAGTATTAAACCAAGAATGTCAGAAACACGGGGCTTTCTGCGCGGAGTCACTGCCTTCCATATGAAGGCCACCTGGGAAGGATGGCAGCCTCCGGCTTCCTCGCGTCCTTCTGTTCCCCTTGCCGGAGGCTGCCCTCTTCTCCCACTCCCGATGTACGTGGGCACCCAGGCTGGCTCTTGGGCGAGGTGGTGGGGGCCAAGCTCATTTCCTCTCCATCAGTTCTGCACAGTAGACTGTGCTACCAGTGTTCGTGGGAAGGGCTGAGAGTGCGCAGTTTATCTGCTGCATCCTAATCTTACCTGGTACACACACTACTTCAGGCAGGGGACCTGGCGGGTGTGGCACTGCCCGATGAAGGAGGGAAATACAAGGGCCTCTGGAGTCGCCGGCCTGCAGCCAGCTGCCCACAAGCCATAAACCAATAAAACCAGAATATGAAGTTACAGTCTTTTATCTGGGTTCTCTTCATTCCCACTGCGTGTGGTGCTGCTCTGGCTGGCTGGGAACAGCGTACAACTACAAAGACTGACAGGAAGCCTGCAAACTGTCCACTTCCGACTCACAACTTACAGTGTAAATAAATTTCTCCTTTGTTACCATCAAATGAAAATGCCACATTCTACTTTATAATTCTACCCATGTTAGGAAAAACGGGCTTTTCCTCACCTTTTCCAGGGCATAAAACTCAAAACCCATTCATTAGTAAGTCTCATGTCCTTTTTTTAAGAGAAAACTTAATGGATTTTTCTTTTTACAGTTATTTTCTTTCTACCCTGAAACTATAAACTCTTAAGAGGAAAAAAAAAATCTGGACAATAGCTTCTTGCTTGTAAAAATATGTACTATACAGCGCTTTTAACATTTTACTCCTGAAGATGACTGTCCCATCTGCACACACTGCAGTGGTGGCCCTCCCTCTGGTCTGTGTGGCTTGTACCACTGCAGGCCAGGCAGCAGGAGAAGGGGGGCGGGGGGAGGGGTGGTGGCCTCTGCTTCTGACTCATCCTGCCTGCCAGGGAAGGGCAGTGGGAGGCCCAGCTCCCCCCTGCAGCTCTCAGAACACCTGCTGGCGCCTGAGTTAGCTCTCCAGCAGCTTTCACCAGGACGCAGGTGAGCTCTCTCCCCATTTTTCCTTTTTCTCTACTCCTCTGGCTTCAAAGACTTTTGGAAAATAATATACACATAACTTTTCCCCTCAGGCAATTTGAAATTTCAATAGCCTTGCTCTGGATAGAGCAGGGCAGGGCCTCCAACTGAAGAAACAAAATTCTCTATACCCTCTCCAGTTTCTAAGTTTTCAGGGGACACTGAAAGATATAGGGAGCCCAGGGTTACTGAAAAACTGGAGAAAGAGAAAAATTTAAATTCGCTGGCTGTAGTGGCATATGCCTATACTCCCAGCATTCAAGAGGCTGAGGCAGGAGGATCATGAGTCAAGACCAGCCGGGGCTCATAGTGAGTTCAAGACTAGCCTGCACTACTTAACAAGAAAAAATCGTAAGATTAAAAAATGAATCCCCTAAGTGAAAAGAGCAAGAAACCGGTCTTCTGTTTGTTCACCTTTCCTGTTCATGGCAGTACCAAACTGGAGATACTAATATTTCACTGATCAAAGAAAGGAAGCTATCTGACCTCTAAAGAATTGAGCACTCAGGCCATTCCAATCATTCTACAAGATGCCAAGGAAATACGGGGAAATCCAGCTACTTACAATGATGCTGACCAATAAATGTGGGCAAGTAAGGCAGGAGAAAAGAGAAAGTAGAATGAATGACAAGGAAAATGGTTAACAAAATCAGAGAGGAGAGGGTTTAGTTGCATGTGAATGGAAAAGCCTTTGCTACCCTGAAAGAACTGCTAATATCAGTAAGCATTTCCAATCCCAAAATGGGAAAAATCCAGTTGTTAACAATATAATGATGTCTCTCCCCTGGAGAGAATTTTTTAGATTTAATTTCAAGACAGAAGGGAGCTAAAACCATTTCCTGCAGGAAGATAAAAGGATGGGGAGAAAAAAACTCCTAGGTCCAATAGAGTCACAGCCTCCTCATGTATAAACCTAAAAGCCAGAAGTGCTCAATCAGCAGAGGTAGACAGTGATCTAGTTCCACATAGCTATGCACAGAACAAATGATTGATAACCCTAAAATCCCACCTGCCTCCTCCTCATCACTTTGGTCTCCATTTTTCCCAGGGAAGCATTTGTCCGCACAGCTTTCTTGCTTCAAACATTAAAACTCAGTCTGCGCAAGCAATTTTGCACAGACATCTCTTCACCCCAGTGCCTGTCTGGAACTCACCCAAGGTCAAGGTCACCAAACAACTTGGTCATAAACCAACTGCCTTACCCTTCAGGGAGAGGGGCTTAGCTAGACTAGGAGAGCAGAATGAATAGGACAAGATGCAGACTTCACAGGGCTGACCTGTCACAGCTTGATTAGAAGCCAAGCCAGTGGTTGCAAGGGATGATTTGGCCCAGCAAAAGCCGTGGTTTATGCTCATTTCTATCCAACAAGCAGAGTAGACAGACACTGGTAAGGGAAATGAGACCTGGTTATGTTGTTATTCTTGGACTGTGAATTTTAGTGATGTAAAACAAAATGCTCTGTAAACCTAACGTCTATGTATAAATAATTAACATTAATAGTAAAATAGTCAATGAAAAGTCAAACTATTAGGATTACATTTTTTTCCTCAATCAGAGTCTCATTTTATCCATTTGGAGTGGCTAGAGCAATACTGAGGGTTCTGGAGGCTCTCGGTAAGCAAGGCAGCTGGTTGGACAGCAGGTGAGCACCAGGCTTCAAATCAGCATACACGAGCCTTAAAGGCTGGATTAGAGGCCGAGCCGAACCAAAGCCGGATGGCCGTAGAGCAACAGCAGCTTCCTAGAACGTATCTGAAAACGGCCCTAGGCAGGGATATCATAATTTCAAGGCCAAACTAAACAGTATCTTCCCTACAATCTGCATCCCCCAAAAGAACTACAAGATGGGGTCGGGGGGAGACAGTGTTTCTGCATTATATACATACTTTCATTTACGAACATTTCAATACAGACTTTCTATACACACATTACCTATATAATAAAAATGTACATGGCATGAGTATATGTCACTGTATAAATATAGAGTTTTAGAAATCTTGAACCCGCACTTCCTGTTCACATCAGTTTCTCCTCTTCTTCCTCCCCAGTCAGGTCCGTCATTTAAGAGTTGGACAAAAGGGACAAGTGTCATTTGTGTTGGTCTGGGCCCAGAATTTTATACACTGGAAAGAAAGAAAAACACACCTCAGGTTTATCTGGGAAGAAAAAGGGAAGGAAGGAGAAAATGCCACTAAGGTTCACAAGGACTAGCCCTGAAAAGGTCTCACCAAGAGGGACCCAGCGGGCTACTTCACTGGCTCTTGCTGAAGGAATCTTCAGGGCAAGTGAACCTGTTGATTTTACTAGGACCAAACACAACCTGCTACAGTGATAAGGGGACTCACAAAGCTGCTTTTTGTTGAGTACCAAATGCAGCTGGTCCTTTATTTTTATTTATTTTATTTTTTTGGTCAGAGGGCACCAGATGGCTTGTTCCTTATGATCCACTTGACCTGCAATGAGTTTCGATCTAATACTCATCATCTGCAAATCTTATTCAGGACATCTTCTCATTTAAAAGAAAATTAGTTATCAATTCAGTTTCTCATGGAAAAACAAAATGAACACAGCCGAACAGCTCTGAAGAACCCTGCTGCTGAGACGCTTACCTCTGCCGGTACACAGGAGAATAGGAGCCACCTGCTGGTCAGTGGAGACAGCCCCCAGGCAGTCCTTCGGTTAGTCGGTCAGTGCAGTCACCAACCTCACTTCAGGCTCCCTATTCTACTCTCACCTACGCAAAGTCTCCTGACAATGAACGCTACATTTGAAAACAATGGTTGAAACACAGGATTACCTCTTACTGTCAGTTTTCTAAGAAAGCCACTTACGAAGCTCTAACATGAACTGCTTACCCAGCTCTCTGAACGCAAGGGGGTAAAAAGCAGCAGGGAGTACTGCACTATTCTAAATTCTGCTCATGTTCAAGCCACAGTTCACTGAAAAACCTTACGGTTAAGACATTAATGATGAGCATCAACCCATAAAATATGCAAGAAAAATTAACTCTGCCATCAAAGCGTAGCAGAGAGTGATGAAGGTATGTAGGACCCACCTCTTTGTGCAACACATGCGAGCACGCCATTGGGTGTAGCTCACTGGGTTGGACAAGTTTCTGGCACATAAGACACAGCTTACAAGTGGCTGGAGCCTGCAGAACAGACAAGGGCACATGGTAAGGAACCTCTGGGTCCCCTCACCCCTAATGCCCGCCACTCTTCTGTTATTTCCACGTAGTACAACTTTATACCAGAAGAAATAAAAGCCCAAAGACAGATTCTTGTATAAAGTACATGCATCTTCCCAGTAAGGCTGCAAACAACCCAAAGGACAGAATGAAGGTTTATTCACTCATGGCACCTAGAAACCCACTCCCTCCACATCCTCAATTTCCCTAACTACCAACATTAAGACAAAAAGAACCTCACATGTGAAGACCTTCCAGGATATGAAACTTGGGCAGAAGGCAAGAACATTGGGGTACTGATTTGGGCCAGTGGAGCAGGATACAAGGCCCGGATCCGACCAAGTGGCTGTGGGCAGGAAAAATTTCAGAGGAAGGAAAAAGAATGTAATAGCATTTAACAAAAAAGAAATCATTAACTTCCCAGTATAGCAAAGCAAAAAAAAAAAAAAAAAGTGGTCTGGCTACCTCTGGTTACAATTTGTCTGCTTCCCCCCCATTTCCCTAAAGTCTGCCTCTCTTCGCCCCCTCAGCAAGCCAAACCCTTTCTTTCCACTCTTCTACCTGAGTGCTTGCTGCCACTCGCTCATGCTCCGCCAGGCGTGCGGCTACCAGCTGGATCAGCTCCTCCATGGTCAGGCCTGCCATGGTGGTACGCGCTATCTTGATTTGCTGAAGAATGTTGGTCATCTGGGCTCTAAGACAGAACAGTGGTGAGGAAGAGAGATTCTGTGCTATAACCTTGGGGAACACCATGAAACCTTCCCTATTTCCAACCATTAGCATTGCTCTGAGAAAGCTGTTTTAATGAACCCTGAGAGATACCTACTTATTGCACTGTGGGAACCGAGTCAGCAGCTTCTCCAGGATCTTCTCCAGTTTGTCTACTGGTTGGGGCCGGGGAGTTTCAGTAGAAGCCTTAACACCACCCAAGCCTGGGGGAGGCGGGATGGAGGTGGCAGGGGACATGTGTGGACTATGGGGGCCAACAAGGGAACCCAAGCCAGGGCTATTTCTCCCATGGGAGCCAGGCAGGGGCGGGGAGGGCTGGCTGGACTGCGAAAGGGCAGGGTTCAGGATCGGGAACGACAAGGAACGGGGATCTGCACTGGGCATAACCATGGGCATCGTGACCTGCCCAATGGAGAAGGGCATCCGAGGAGCCAGAGAGGGACTGGGCTGAAACACTTGGAGCATGAAGTCTGTCTGCAGAGGGTAAGCAGTAAAGGACGAGAGAGAAAGGAAGACAATTTAGAAACTGAAGGTCATTCACGAGCATCTCCTCATAAAAAGGACAAGCCAAGATTCAAACTATGTCACAGCACAGGACGGATGCACTCTCACCTCTGAGGGGGGTGGCGGCAAAGTGGGGGTAGGGATTTGAGGAAGGCTGCTCAGCTTGGCCCCATTCCTCACTAGCTGGATATGACTATTAAACTGGTCCTGAAAAACAGGAAAACAATAGGATAACCCTTTACTGCTAGTTAAGTGAGCCTCTGGAGAAAGCAGATCAGCTGTTCTCAGAAGACAGAGCAGTGGGACAGCCTTAAGAGCAAACACAAAGGTTACCTCCCTCCTGTCACAAGTGCTAAGCACAACGAATGATGGAACCAAGGTTACCCGGACATTCTTTTTCATTATCCGAACTCCATTCAGCCTCGTCTCCCACTCCTGTTTGGAACGAACTGTCTCCAATGTTGGAGGAGTTGACCTTTCAAGAAACCAATGAGAATTTACAGAAATTAAAGAAAGCTCAACTCCTAACTCTCTGTGATAGCAAAACGGTAGTCAGCAATGGGTCGTGAACAGATGTGGGGAAGCTCAACAATCTGTCACTTGCCTCACTTTGACTCTCTCATATTTTAAGCCAGGTGTCTGAGAATGACAGCGTTTTTGCCTGTCTGAAAAATGTCACAGGGGCCCTCCAAATTCCAAGACAAAATGAGGAAAGATGATCATATTAGACAACAGATCTCCAAAGGCCTTTTTTTTTTTTTTTTTTTGGTACCAGGGATCGAACTCACGACCTCACACTTGCCAAGCAGGCACTTATTGCCACTGAGCCAAACCCCTGGCCCTCACCAAAGGCCTTTGTTAAACTTTGCCATTTATTGAAATGGAAAAAATGTAAGTACAAAACTATAAAACTACAGAAGGGAAGAGGTAAGAGCAAAGAAGCCTTACAATCCAGAAAAAAAATCCCTGAGCAATGAGTACTGCACAAACATAGTCTTAAAATTCCTACGAAGTCAGAGTAAGTACAAGATGTGCTGGTCTAGTGTTTCAAAAACCCAAAACACACAGCCACTGGGGCAGTACTTATTTATTTTCAGACAAGGTCTCACTCTATCTGTCTCAGTATATCAGACTGGCCTTGAACTATATAACCTGGAAAGGTCTCAAATGTGGTGATCCTCTTGCCTCAGCCTCCTGAGCAGTGGTGGGATTATCAGTGTGCACCACCACACCTGGCCTAAATTTTTTTTTTAACTTGGGATTGAACCCAAGGCCTTTACATTGAGCTATACTTCCTGTCCCTTTTTAATTTTTTTAGTTGTTTTTGTGCATGTTTGTTGTATCTTTTTTTTTTTTTGCGGTACCAGGGACTGAACTCACGACCTTGCACTTGCCAGGCAGGCGCTTATGCCACTGAGCTAAATCCCTGGCTGTATGTGTTTGTGACACAGTACTTGCACTCGTCGTGGAGAACGGTACACAGGCACATGTCACTGCGTCTCGCAATGGCAAGGGACTTACTTGAGGTAAGTAAGGTGCAGCTCTGCTTCCTTCTCTGCTTCTTCTAGTTTCAACACCAGCAGCTCCTTGCGGCTCTCCAGTGACAGGATCTGCGGGAACGGCACACACACACATCCTCACCAATTCCCACACACAAAGCCATCTCTGGGTAGTTAAAACCAACGCCATGGCTCTTCTGACACCACACAGAGTACGCCCCATCGAGGAGCCCTGAGCTAAAGCTTTGGGGGATCACTCTTCTCACCTCTGCCTTCCAGGCTCGCTCTGTCTCTTCCATAATGTTCCGATTTATTTCACCATCCTGATTCTTGAGTCTATCCAGTTCCATTTCCCATACTTCCCTGTAAGATTAAAAAATAATAATAATTTTTAAAAACCAAGAACGAGACTAAGGCAGGAGAGATACGCCTGCTGAAAAACACCAAGGCAAAAGGAAAACTCCAAATTCACCTGCCAGGTATGCCTCTCTCTCAGAATCCACTCAGACATGATAACGTATCATAATGTGGCCTGCAACTCCATGAAGGCCCTGTATTTCAAAGGAAGAATACCCACTTCCCCTCTTTCTAATGTAGTTACCTAGAGCAGGCAAAAAGAGTGCCTCTTAGAACCAAAACGCTCTGTGAGGTAAAATGTTCTATGTTCAGCAGGGTTCAAAGCCCTGTGGCATTTCTTTCTCTCCCCACCTTTGTCTTTTAGTATGAGTACTGCAAAATACACACTCCAATAGTGGTCAACTTAATATTTATCTCTAGTGCAGCATCAAGTAAAATATACTGCCTTACTGATTTCCACACTTTTTGGCTAGAGTAAGCATTCTGCAAAAGTTAAATACATTCTCTTTCTACCTCAGATTTCCCGTTTTTGTTTACTCCTTTTTTACGCACTCCCTGCCCTCAATTCCCTTTCTTACAGTACAATCTTCACACTCAGGATAAAGATGACACCTGTTCCAGTGTGCCCAGGACTAGGTCTCAGGATATGGGGTTTTCTGTGATAAATTGGGACAGCTGATCCCCCTACTCCAGACTGGAGAGGCCACTCTGGAACAGGGCCAGCAAAAGATTTTCCTTATATTACACTTGATTATAGCAAGCTTTACAGCGCAAAGAAGTGATTATTGTATCTCAAAAGTCCTGATTTCTCTTTAGTGAGACAATTGTATTCCCTTTCCATGTTTAGTAACCTTTATTTATTTATTTATTTGTCTTTTTATCGGTACTGGGGATCGAACTCACAACTGCCTGCTTGCAAGGCAGGCGCTTATGCCACTGAGCTAAATCCCCAGCCCCTTTTAGTAACCTTTAAACACTTGTGAAAAGGGAACAATTTGCTTAACAGAAGTCTCTGGGGCTACTTCTCCTCACATACTCTGTTTTGACCCAATTCTCCACACACCCCTGCTCTCACAGATATGGGTATGGGTGGGGGTACGGGTGTGCACCCTACTCACACCCGGTGATATGAGTAGGTATTTTCTTCTTTTTTTTTTTCTTGTCTTTTTGAGACAGGGTCTTGCTGTGCAGTTCAGGCTGGCCTTGAGCTCACTTTGTAGCCCAGGCTGGTCTCGAACTCGCAACGATCCTCCTGCCTCAGCCTCCTGAGTGCTGGGATTACAGGCATGAGCCACCACCCCCAGCTGAGACCCTGTTTCAAATAATGAAAAAAAGTAAAATCTTATGGCAATAGAGAATTCTACATATTCACACATAGAAAATCTTATTTCTCTGGACTGTTAGCCATATTTACCTCACTCATATCCAAGAAGACAAAAGGAACTACTACTAGCTCCCACAACTAAATAGTTAAGAAATTCTTAAACAGTTAGGAAAATACTCGGCCTTACATGCTAACTGTCCTATAACATAAGCATCAGACTTTTACCTCATTAAGATATGCTACTGTAGTTACAGTGCATCAGTTAAAAAAAAAAAAAAAACAACTTCCTGGTAGTAGACACTTTCAAAAAATCCTTAGCTGCATGTGGTGGCATACATGCCTAACCCCAACCCTTGGGAAGCTGAGGCAGGAGGCTCACCAGGAATTCAAGGGCAGCCTGGACTGCAGTGAATTCAAGGCCAGCCTGAACTACACAGCAAGATCCTGCCTCAAAAAAAAAGAGAAATCCTTAGCAAAATAAATCCACTGAGTTCATTTAACTTTTAAAATTTTTGGTCTAAACCAGGCATAGCTGCACAAACCTGTAACCCAACTATTTAGGAGGCTGAGGTGGGGGATCTTGAACTCAGGATCAGGCCAGGCAATTCGTGAGACTCAATCTCACAATAACAATGAAAATGGCCTGGCTATAGCTCAGGACCAAGTAGGGCTGTCTAGTACTAGGCAAGGCTCTGGGATTAACTGCCAGTAAAACAGACACATACACACACACACACACACACACACACACACACACACACACGCATGGAGTCTAATTTCTTTCAGGTCCCATGTATCTGTTATTTCACATAGTTACTTTAGGGAATCAGTGGGCCAAGTGAATAAATTCTATCACACTATGACAGAAATTCTGATTTATTGTAGATCTCCATAGGTTTGCGCAGCTTTTTAAATGAACTTTATTTTTGATCACGTAAGCCATACAAATTACAGAAAGTTTAGAAAATAAAACAAAGTCTAATACAGAGTTCCCAACTTTTCCACATATTGGTTGTATAACCCTATACAAGTTACTTAATCATCCCAGGCCAGTTCCTTCATGTGAAACATAAGTAGAATCACATCACAGGATTGAGTAATTAATTGAGAAAATACAGGTAAGAATTTAATATGGTACCTAGTTGGAACTAGCCAACAAAAAAAATTTTTTTGTCTTTCTGAGACAGGCTCTTACTATGCAGTTCACACTGGCATTCAACTCACTTTGCAGCCCAGGCTGGTCTCAAACATGCAATGATCCTCCTGCCTCAGCCTCCCAAGTGCTGGGATTACAGGCATGCACCACCACATCTGGCTCAAATACTATCTTTTATTAAAGTGGTTTTTTTAAATTCAATTTCTCATATTCATGCTACTCATAAAGAATCACTAATATATCTGTTTCTAGTCTTTTTAAATACTTTCATATTCATGATATATATATATGTAGCATATACACAGCCTGTAGTTCAACATACTGTATTTTTCTGTATCATTAACTACTCTTCAAAAAACGTAATGACTACTATATAGCTATACCATTATTATTTAGGTATTCGCTTAAATTATTTTCAATTTCACAATTATAAATAATATAATAATGAGTATCTGTGTACGTGTCATTAACAGGTTAATGACCAAAGTGATGTATTCAGATGTGAAAGGAAGCTAAATTAGCTAAGAGCAATGTGGAACCAAACTACTCAAAATTCAAATCCTGGCCCTATTACTCTATACAACCTTTGACAAATCAGTCTTTCTTTGCCTCATGTTATTTTTTACTAAAGTAAAAAACGAGGAGCAGCTAGGGTTCTAGATCAGTGGTGACGCACTTGCCTAACACATGCAAGGCCCTAAGTTCAAGCCCCAGCACAGAAGGAAAAAAAAGGGAGGGGACCGTGGTAAAAGAGTCTAACTCTTCGACAGGCAGAGCAGCACAGGTTTGTAATTCCAGCAATTTGGGAAGCTAGGGCAGGAAGATCTGAAGTCTGAGCCCTGTCCGTAAAATTCATCCTTGAGCTAAGGATGTAGCTCAATGTGAAGGCTCTGGGTCTAATCTTCAAAAGAAAAACAAAGGGCAGGGGATTTAGCTCAGCAGCATAAGCGCCTGCCTTGCAAGCAGGAATCGTGAGTTCGATCCCTGGTACCGATAAAAACGAGAAAGACACCAAAAAAAAAAAAGAATCTAGCTCCAAGGAACAGCAACAACAGTCTCTAGCATACAGGAAGACCTTCATCAAGGTTAGTAATCATGTGGATATTAGTACATCTTCCTTCAGAGAAACTGAAGATAATGAACTTTTTGCACCAGAGGAGTGGTAGAAACCAGGGTGACACTGACACAGAAGCAGATGGTAAGCATCCCATGCAGTGCTTTCAGCTGTGGGAGACAGGACTGAGAGCTACTGAAGGAAGCCTCAGCCCACAGTACAGGCACACTAGGCAAGGCCAAAGAAAATACTTCAAAAATAACTCTGTGGAGAGAGAATTATATTGAGGTTGGCTGCAGCACTCATAGTATATATTTCTGAATGAGCTCCGACTGAAGCAGAAAAAATTAAACTGGCATGAATTCCTCCTTGATCCAATTTAATGCAGCATCTACTGAGTAGCCTAAGTTCTAGGTACCCTAAAATCTGGAATATAAATATGCCCAGTTCCTGTCCCCAAGACACTCATAATCCAGTACTCTGTCAACTGAAGGAAGGAGAAAAGGAAATTCTAGGCAACAAACAGCATGTGCAAAAGCCAAAGAGCACAAGCTAGGAAGCGCGGGAGGTCGCTCAGCAAACACTGAGTATACAAAGCCAAATTCAGTACGACCATCTGGGCTGGGGATACAGAAGAGTGACCAGCACAGAAACCAGAATACGCCACCACTATGCCACCTCTAACCATATTTCTCTGCACAGTAATTATTTCAAGCTGGGATTTTTGGTCATTTTTGTGGTGGTGGTGGTGGTGGTGGTGGTGGTGGGGTTTTGAACCCAGGGCCTTGCACATGCTAAACAAGTCCTCTACCACTGAACTGTTTCCCCCACCTCTTTTTTTCTTTCTGGACTTTGAGACAGAGTTTCACTTATGCAGTTCAGGCTGGCCTTGAACTCATTTTGTGGCCCAAGCTGGCCTCAAACTCACAGCAATCCCCACGCTGCAGCCTCCCAAGTGCTGGGAGTATAGACATGCACCTCCAAGTCCAGCCTCTGAGCCATCCCCTACTATTGTGATGGTTATTTTGAGAAACTGTAGACACAAGAATAGCTCTGAAAAAAAAATCTCTTTTGTACAGGAAATTTTCATTAATAACAATATCTCCACAAAGAAGAGAATACTTCAAAAGAAGTATTCGAGATAACTTTACTCCTGAGAGGGTTGGTTTTGTTTTGTTGCAGTACTGAGGGTTAGGCCAGGCCCTTGCAGGTGCTGGGCAAGCATTCTACCACCAGTGTACATCTCCAGCCCTTTTCACAGTTTATTTTTTGCTTGTCTTTTCATATTTTATTTTTGAGACAGGGTCTCCTTAGCTTGCCCATGCTGGCCTCAAACTTGTGACCCTCTTGCCTCCACCACCTGAACAGCCAGGGTTACAGGTGTGTGCTACCACCCCAATCCCTAAGACTTGTACTACATAAAACATCATCATGTACTTCTTCCCCTGACCCTTTCAAAACTCCTCTCTGCC